TTTTTTTGTTTTCTTTTAGAAACCTCAAAAAAAGTAATTTTAAGAAAATAGAGACTAATAAAGATAATCGCCTTAGCAGTGAGAACAAATTCAAAAGAAATAATGAAAAGATGATAGGTTTTCTAATTAGTTGAAAACGGATAATTTTCTTTCGTTTCTGTTTGAATGGACAGGAATTGAACATTGATTCAAATCACAAATCAAGGAGCCTAGTTACTGTCAAGATATTATTATTATTATTATTATTATTATTATTATTAACGTCGATCTTGATTCGTTACCCAGACCTCCTCACTAATCCTTGAGCTCTTTATTGTTGAACATGGACACCTACACGATTCTGAAGATCACAGTACTACACTTTACTCTTCTTTCCTTTTTTTTTTTTTTCACGTGCACGCCATCACGCATACATGTTCACATACATTTATCATATACACTATCAGATTTTGTTATTCAAATCAATGTCTTCACAATAAAAATTATTTTTAACCAAAATGATATTGGGAAAAATATTAAAAACAGCGCATAAGTTTCGGGTTATAATATTTTTGTTTTATCTTGTTTTGATGGAAGAAATTAAATTCAGTACCATATTTTATTTGTATAATTTATTCATAAATAAATAAAAAAAGAAGCATCATCCACAGAAACGTATATTATTAACAAAATATCCAATAAATATCTGAATAAATTATTATTTTACTTGTATATATATACCTTGTCATTCTATAACTTACGTGAATCTATCATCGATTTATTTTACGTTTTCTACTGATTCATCTGTAACATTACTTGCAATAGATTTTATTGCGATTTAAAACACAACTACGCTCGCCGCTGCCATTTTCTCAGTCTTGTTATTTACTACTTACAAAAAAGTCCTAAACTTTAAAACAGCCATCAGATCCATCTAATATAGTTCTACATTCATCACTAAAAATTACTGCAGAGAAATCAGTTTTCAAGCAATTTTTCGTTCAATTCCTGCATTATTATTTTTTTTTATTTTTAGATATTTCTTAAAAATTAGTTCACGCATCTAATGTTCTCTTTGTGTACGGAATATCAGCTTCTTGAATTATGTTCCTGCTAGCTAATCCATTCTTTTATTCTATCACTCTTTTAATTTTTCTATGATCTCTTTTACATGATATCCTAAAAGGCAAGATTTCCTCCTGTTTTTATTTTGCCAATATTTGCAATTTCTTTTTTAGTGTCCTTCTATATAACCCTTCTACATTTTGGCAGTTTCCGATGTTGTCTCCTCATTACTCAATTACATTACATTATCTAGTTTCATTCTAGAGTCTGTCTCTTTCTTCTAAGTAAATATACATACATGCACACACACACACACAAACACACACACATATATATGTATATATATGAAATTAAGATTATGAATAACTATAGTATAATATTTATTTATATTACGAGCAACACACGAGATTGATAAAATTTCACACTAACAAATAAATAATTGCGAATATTTCTAATAAAACCGATATTATATGTCCTCGTGACATGCTTATCATAGAAATATAATTTGTATCCAGGAAATGTTACCAATATTTACTGGTTGATAGCATGTTTTGTGAAAACATCCAACTGCATAATAAAATGTAACATTGACCGTATTCTTAAAATAACGTTTGGCATATTATTTTATACTATTTCATACTATCTATGCAATACATAATGTGTATTAACACAGACTAACTCGGATATAAACATATTCAGAAATGCACACATACATAATATAATGATTTAATACCATTTGTGAGCGTGCGGGTGATGTGACGAATGAGAAATCGGAGAATCGAGTTCGAATGACAGTTAGGTACATTACATTCATTTTTGAACAATTACCATTGGCAAAGGTACAAATCCATCTCCTCACCCCAGCCATGGAATAAATTTTAATATTTGTATCTGAAAAAAATCATTGTTATTCTCAGAATATTCTTAATGCAATATTCACTCACAAAAACATAAAAAAAGAAACTGTTTTTTACAATCCAAAATATGATTTGTCTTTAAATAATCTACAAAGCATAGATAAGCCGTAAAAAAAAAATGAAAAAAATCACTCAATCAATAACTCTGTTTGTAATCTACTTTTCGTGACTTGATGTTCGACAAACCTCGGTTGGGTGAAAATGCCATTCAGGCAATAAATGGCCATCAATACATATATTAAATCATTTTTATACTTTTTCAATACACACACACACATATATATATATATATATATATATATATATATATATATATATATATATATATATATATATATATATATATATATATGAGTAGAAGAAAATAAAACCTGTCGTACCAACGCGTTTTTTCTGCTCTGATGAACTTTATCAAGGTAATTGTAAGGCTTTTATTTTGCAACATGTATTTATAAACAAATGTAAAAATACCTTCAGCTTTTCTATTAATATTGCTCATTGTGTAAGTAAATGTAAACTATGGAGGAAGCTCAGTGATATAATTTAATGCCTAATGAACAAAAGTGAGTAAATGCTTTTTATTGCTGTTGATTTTTTCTCATGTTTTTATATATATTTACATATTTTTCATTGATGCAATTATTATTTAATGTTCTTTTTCTATGTACCATGTTTCTTGAGGACGTTAGCGATCGTGGCTCTCCACAATTTCATTTTTTTTGTAACTCTTAATAAATTTTATCTATCTAAAACTTGTTCTGCCATCCATTTACTGAAGCTCACTAGGTAAGTAATGCGTTATTTTCGTCTGTCTCTCTTGCCTTCAATATGTCCTGTGAATATTACATTTACCAAGCCATCTTTCCTCATTATGTACACTAGAAATTTCAGTTGTCGCTTTCTGATGTTAAGTATTCATTTTCTCTAGTTTATTTTAATTTAATAAATTATCTATGTACGCATATTTTGATTGTTTTGGGAAATAAATTCCCAAAACTGACTATATTACAACCGGTTGGAAAAAAATGTATGAATATTCCAGAACTTTTACTAAGAGCAAATCGTCTGCGTACGGATAGAAAATTAATTGAGTAGCTATAAAAAAAAAAACAGAAAAGGGCGTGTATTCTCCTCAGATTTATTTAATCTCTACAGCGAGGCGGCTAATCTAAGTGAGCGAGAGACCCTATCAGGATTTGCTATCGGTAGATGTAATCTTAACAATATAAGATACACAGATCTCACTATGTTGATGGCCGACTCTGAAAGAAAACTACAAGACAGGGTGGCAGTAGAAAGCAAGAAAAAAGAATTAAACACCAACTGCAAGAAGACAGAAAGTATGATCATAAGCAAGATAAAAAGTCCAAGATGCGAGTTACAAATTGGAGATATTAACATCAACCAGGTTAAAGAAGTTTAAATATCTGGGAAGCGTTTTTAACAGACGATAGAAAGTGCACCACCGAGAATTGGACCCGATTGGACTAGGGAAAGAAGTATCCCAGAAGCTAAGCAAGATGCTGAGAAACAGAAAAATTTCGTTAGAAACAAAGAAAAGAGGGTTGTATTGTTATGTGATATCCGTCCTCATATATGCCAGTGAATGCTGGGCAATTTCCCACCGATGAGAAAAAAAAATTAGAGGCAGCGGAAACGTGGTTCGAGAGATATTGAAAAATACTGAAAATTCTATGAACGGAGCGAGTAAGCAACAATGAATTATTTAAAAAAACGGCAACAACAAGAACACAAATATTCAAAATCAGGAAAAGACACCTGAAATTCCTTGAACACGTAATGCTCCTTCTATATATTTAGAGATTCTCGATAAAATCCAAAGAAAAATCTGAATTTTTATTGGTCATAAACAGATATCTTGGCTCCGTCATTTTCCTACCGCCACATGTAGTTTCCCTGTGCTTTTTCTATAAATAATTTCATGGGAATTGTTCTGATGAACTTTCCTCTATGGTACTTAGACCATTTAAGAGCAGTACTATATTGACGACAAGATGTCATCGTTTTGCTGTTGAAATAGCGAGATGTAACCGTATGTTCTATGCTAACAGTTTATTTTCTCGCACGTTTGGTTTGTGGAAATTTTTCTTTCAAAAAATGAAATGCAATGTCAATCGATATTCCACACCATTTCAAATAAAAGGTAAGTAAAGAAAACCCCATCAATGCTGAAATGTTTTCTTCTGAAAAAAATTGTTTTAAGAGAAGGATTTTATAAGTTTCAACCGACAGCAGTACTGGTTGCTCGGTCAATGAGTGCCAAATGTTTCCTTGTAGGGAAACAGCTAATATTACCATTATTATTACCAATATTTCTTGTAACTGCTTAATTTTCTCTGCTCTCTTTTCTCTTTATGTGCTCTAAATTTTTATTTTTTATTTTTAGTGGAGACAGTCGACATTGACTGTCTCCACTAAAAATAAGTGTCTCTTTTGTTTTTCTCTAAAACTTCGTTGTTGCTCATATGTTCAGCCCATGGTATTTGCAGCTCCTTTCTCTAGGACCACGTTTAAGCTGCCTTAAGTCTCTGAGATTGTCAAGCATTTACTGTAATATAAGAGGACAAATATTACATAAGAGTTCAGTAGCCTTTTCGTTGTTTCTGACAAGTGCTAGCCTGAATAATTTTTGTTTTAAATGACATCTCTCTTCAACACGTAGGCGACCATGGTTCCCCACGTTTGCTTTCCTTTAATATTTGTTAATTTCTACGAATTCTTGGGAGAAAAGTTTTGAATTCTTCAAAGTTAAGAATTTTAAGTAATTTTTCTGTTAGACTGACAATCGCTCAAAGGTTAAACAGTTCCTTTCAACTTTAATATTTGACCCATGTCGGGGGTCAAATGTCTCAAATGAATTTATACGAGAAGTGAACATACCAGATGGAAATTAGAACTCGGTTCGCTGATTCCACTTTCAGCGCCGATAACCGTTACGCTACTTACACATTTAGTTTGTACATTGAAAGTAATTAATGTCCTAAAATAAAATAGGGTAGGTAACTTACGGCCGCATGACGTTGTAACACAGGTTCCCGTACAATCACCGAAGTTAAGTTACGTCAAGTCTGGGCAGTACTTAGATGGGTGACCGTTTTGGAATACTAGGTGTTGTAAGCTTGGATGTGCGGGTGGTGTAATGGATAATAGTGCAGAATTGTTAATCGGGGAGCAGAGTTCCAATTCCAGTCGGGTTCGTTACATTCCTTTACACACAAATACCTTGGGAAAGATATAAATCCACTTTTCTCTCTCAAGCTATGGGTTAATTAATAAAACTTGTATCCCTGAAACCATTATTTTTCTTTAAAAAAATCAAAAATAAAACTGCGTAAAAGTATTTAGATTTCGACGTTAAATAACCTTTAGAGGCTAATATGCTTCTAAACAAACAAAAAAAAAACTACATAAGGATGGTCGTAACATTTATCGATCGAAGCACCAGAAAATAGGATACTGGTATGAATAATTCGTAAAATAATGAAAATTCGTTGTGTCGAAACTTTGGATAAATGCTTGAGACGGTAAGAGAACGGACTGAGCGAAATAATTTTAAAATCGACAAAAGGGAGAATACAAGTCCGAAGAATTCGCAAAATAACGAAAATATTTTTGTGACTAAACTTCTGACGGGTATCAACTTATTCAGCTACGTTGACTGACTCTTGGGCCTTGTTTTAGGCGAAATTTACTTTTTTTAAATTATAGACTGATTAAGCAACCAGATGAAGACATGCATAAAGCGATTCATTAACTCACTTAACTAATGCAATTGCCATCAACAGACTTTTCAAAACAACAGAATTCTTACTTTAAGAAACAAACACACATACTTTCAAGCTTAACCGCCCCCTCATTTGTAGAGAAAATTTCAATTAATTTAAGATAATAAATTAAAGAAATTAAACTTCATCTTTATATTCTTTAGCACAAAAGAGAAAAATGCCATCGCCAACCCCAATCTTTTTTTTTTTTTCTATAGAAATATGGATTTCTTCCAATTCTTTTATTTTTAACGGACATTCTATTTTCGCTTTCATCATAAAAATTTGATTAACATTAAGCTGTCCTCAGCCCATTAAGAAATTTGAAAAACATTTCTATTTTTAGTTGATAATTATAATAATTTAAACTCGTAGAAACGAGGCTACGGTACCTCTTTGCAATTTGGTAAATAATGCCTCTTAATCAATATATTTTAATAAAGTAGAAGGAAAGGTTCATAATATTTATAATCGCCGAATTATTGCCTATGAAGGCGGTTCATGATCCGTAATGGTTAGCGTCGAACGTAGTTCAAATTCTGGCCTAGTAAGGTACATTCACTTCGCATTAATTCCCTTGGGAAAGGTATAAGTACATTTCTTCTCACTCAAGGTATTGTTTAAATATCAGGCTTATGGTTATATCATGTTAAAACACAGGTTCTCGTACAATCTCTGAATGTAAGCAATGTCGAGCCTGGTCAGTACCTAAATGGGTGAACACTTCGGAATACCAGTTGCTGTAAGCTTGGATGCGTAAGAGGTGTAAAGGAATTGCAACAGAATAGATTGGATCGTTATTTACATTATTCGGACTATTGTCCTCATCTTTGTCGCCATATTTATCACAACGTTTCGGCCGTTGTACGCTCCGGCATTCTTCAGGTGGTTGGAATGTCGAACCGAACCTTTTATATCCTCAAGGACACATGGCACAGTGGATAAAGGCGTTGGTTAGATCCAGTGACAGGACCGAAAGAGTGTGAGTTCAATACCCGGTTAAGGCAGTGGGAAATTAACAGGAGATAACTGATAACTGACATCCATTAAATATGGCACGTGGAACTAGAACAGTCTACCCCAGTGAGCGAAATAAAGGGTTCGGTTCGAAATTCCAACCACCTGAAGAAGTCCGGAGCGTACAACGGCAGAAACGTTGTAATAAATATGGCGATAAAGATGAGGACATTAGTCCGAATAATGTAAATAATGTACATAATACCTCATCTCAGAAATATAGACAGACTCAGATTGGATCATTTTTTAAACGTTCATCGCGCTTTTCAACTAGCCTTTGACAAACACGAAAGGCGAATGAAAGTTCATAATTATGGCAACCTACACCATGATGCCACTGTGTTGTGGGCGAATATACTCTTGGAAGATGTACTTCTGCAGGTCTTTGTTACTCATGCAAAAGAAGATAACACAAATGGAGACGTGTACGACAATATTTCAGTGGGTGGATCTTTGACTACAGACAGGTGGGCTTAGGCGTCTGAGTCAACGAAGCTCGAATGCAACATATTGAAAATCCTAGAGTTATATTAATTATGATCTCTGCTGTGGTCTGCTACTCTAGCGTTGCAACCGGGAACAGCAGCTGATTAAGTTTTAGTTGCCGCTGTAATTGAATATTGAAAAAGTAATGGCGTAATGGATAGCAGCTTTTCCCAACGGTATTACCACTTACGTGCTAATACCCTTGGGAAAAGCCGCATGTATGAATATATGAAACCCCTTCTTCTCCCTGCAGCCATGGATGGCAATTGGTCTACCGCAGAAAGAAATGGCAACCTACTGCGAGAAAAATCTGCCTCGTCAGTCATGTAACGAAAGATACATGGTAGAGTA